AATACAGATCGACAAGATGATATCACGTCGCGTCTTTATCAAAACACTGATGATTTATCATACGGCGAACAAAATTAGGCCTAATTAATAATAATCGAGTAAAAGAATATCGGCACAACTTTTTCTTGTCCTTATAAAGATAAAAAAATTATTCGATCCTGAAATTTATAATACAGTTTTAAAAAAATAACAAAAAATGAATTCAATTTATATTTCATTGAAACTTTTCGAAAATCTACTTGTATGATTACGACAGATAAAACTATTTATCGATTTGTAAATCGCATCCGACATTCTTCCAGATATTTAAAATTGATAACTGATAAATGATAGAGAAGAAAATGATTTTGAAATAATAAAAATCTTAATACAAAATGCTGATATATAATATCAGCTAACATTTCTTAAATAAGAAATATCTAAAATTTGTGCGCTTAGGCATACAGCTGTTAAAGTTATTACATCAAATATATTATAAAAAAATTTCGACTTCCACATTTTCATTATCGTGTGATATGTGTCATACCTAAGTATATGAATTTTAAACAATTTGATTGATAACTTTCCATTTTAAAAATATTATATTCTTAGAATTTTGGTATTACATTTTTATCTCAAGGTAATTTCAGAAATTTATTAATGATTGTCATAGAAAATCTAGATATGTTTGTATAAATACCAAATACTAACTCAGGTTAGTCCCGTACTGATAGGAAAATTATGATCTGAAAGAAAATCAACGAAATATCTGTTTCTTGGAAGAATTTAGAATTTAGAAAATCAATATGAATTGATTCATAGTTTATCATTCTCAAATATTATTTTGTCTAATATTGGAAAAATATTTTATTTGTACGTTTGTTTATTTATTCATTTTTTTCATAATAAAATTACTAAACCCAGGTAATTTATAAAAACGAAATACTTAAATGCTTCAGATACTGTTTCAGAGCGTATAAAATTAATAAAATTTATTAATTATATTTAACAAACAATATTAATAAGAGTCAAAGCCTAGCTATTATACTTAGGCCAGATTTTGATATACATTATCAATATTCAAAATTAAATCAATACAAAAATTTATAATGTACCTGACAGGAATGATCTATGCTAACTAAGATAGTGATATCAAAACACAACCTTAATTACATTTTACAATATCTATTTCCCTTGATCACATATGGAGTGATTCTTACACGCTCGATTTCATTTTCATGACCTCGTAATTTCACCATCATACTCTTATTCTTGTATCCCGTTTCCTTCGATCGTTCTTTTTTTTCTTTTTTTTCGCAAGTCGGGGATGCCATACAGCTTTTTGCACGCCCGAGTCGCTACCGGGGACCGTACAGTATGAGAGTAAGCAATTTTCTTCCGAAGATGGAGCGGCACTGGGACATCGTCGGTGCTCCAGGGAGAACGTACGACGATGCGAGCGAGCGAGCGAGTGAGTGAGTATGATTGATGCGGTTTGTCGGTCTTGCCTGACGTCCAACATCTCGTCTCGTGTCATGCTCGTGGATACTTACGCCCTCGACGACGACGACGACGACGACGACGACGACGACGACGACGACGACGACGACAACGACGACGACGACGACGACGACGATGATGACAACGACGAGGATGACGACGACGAGGGCGATGATGATGATGACGACGACGACATTCTCGATGTTACAACCCGCTACACTTTGCGCATTCAGCCACGCGACTGAACTATGCTGCAACCGCTGCGCCTCGATTTCCCAGCGTACGCGCGGAGAATGATCAGTCAGGGAATACGGAGTATCATCTTCTTGAGAAACTTAGTTGAGTTTTTCTTAGCTATACGCACTAGCAAGAGAGATCCCGGAAAAAGAGAAGAAAATGCTATATGTTATTCTGAGAATCTCATCTAACAAATGTATTCTCCATACAGTAATATTTATCATTTCTTGACTATTTTATATAAATGATCATTTAAAAAAAAGAAGAAATAATTCATGCCACAATTATATAATTTTAGTAATTTGTATATCGTATTTATAAATTTATTACATAAATGAATATCACAGACAGTAACAGTATTGTCAAAATTGTATGCCATTTTGGCAATAAATTGTACAATATTCAAATATAGCGATAAATATCTCAATTTACTTCTTATATTTTGAGCGTTATGGCTCAAATAATTATAATATTGATTTCTTTATTTATATTTTCTTTTATATTTTATAGAATCGATTATAAAAATTTTTGAAAAATATAAATGTTATCATAATTTTTAAAATTAAAACATGTAGATTACAACATTGTCAATATCTGAGATTACAACATTTATCAACGTGTTAATATCATGAAACAAATATACATATATGACATTCTTCAAGTTATATATTGATATGATGTGGAATGTATGTATATAACAAAATTATATTTTTTCTCTTAAACATGATTATTTCTGAGTCAGATGCATGATATCTAGGAATTTATACAGTATGACTTTTAAATCCGATAAAGTAAAAAGTGATAAAAATTAAACACCAAAAAGCTATACCAAAAGTATTAATATTTCAACCTTAAGACATAGCTAATATCTGTTAAATTCTGTTTTATTTGACATTCTAATTTATATCTAATTCGTTCTATCACAATATCGCATTGCAGAAGCGAGTAAACACGTAGTTTAATAATTAAATTGTGCTATGAATCATATGAATTTATGAATGTTGTAGTATAATCTTATTCTGGTTACTTGGAAAAGACGCACAAAGAATTATCTATTAGTTAAATTTCATGCTCCTGAACGTTTGTAACTTTAAAATTTGACTTAAAAATTACAAAAAAATTGTTAATATTATAAACGTAGACTTAATATCATAATAGATTCAATAACTATTAAATTTATTTATACAAATATTTTTTGATAATTTCGCAATCATGATTATAACAAACGAAAACACGTATAATCTCGTCTCTTATCGAGTCGAAAGAACACAAGTGAGCAAAATGCAATGAATTAATGCAACTACTTATCAATGATTATCAATTCTACTAATTGATAACAATAATCAATTATTAATTCAGTTAAAAGATTTTTTATGCATTTTATATGTTCTTTATGTGCAATTATTAAATATACTTAAAACAATAATAAACAATGACATTGCATCCAAACATTTCTAATAATAAATTATTGCGAACATATATTCCTTATCAAGATACGCGAAGTGTCGTTGCATCGAAAATTCCAAATTATCAGACGGAAGTCATACCAGATCGGAAAACGTTGTCTCCGTTTTCGGCTGGCGATTAAACTGTTAAAACTGATGTTTGATACTTGATAAATTTTATTGCTTCTCGATATCTTTGGGTATATGCCTTTAAAACATATCATAAAACAATTTAGACATTTTTATCGGAGATATTCAGTTTTATGAAAGTTAAGGACACATAATTTAAGCTAACATATGAGAAAAACCTACTAAAGATTTCCGTTAAAAAAATCAAATATTTTTAAATTTCTAAACACATAATTCAAATCCATTGTCACATGTTTAAGTTATTCATTTATAATTTCTCACTATATTTTACACATATTCTTAGTTTCTATTGCATTATACATATTAATTTTTTTCTTAAAATTTACACGTAATTGTAACTCTGAATAATTAACTTATTTCAAAGATCGTCTATTTCCCTCAAACCTTTTGTTTTCTCAAATGGATATCGTTTGAGAACACAATTCCCTGAAAGAGCGACGGACGTGATCTAAAAACTTTTCAACCAACCACGCGAAGATTTCACTTGCTTTGAAATCTCATCTTTCAGGAAATATCGAAGATCACCCTTGCGGCCGTGAAAGCGCGAGCTCCCTTTCACCTTCACCCCATTGCCTAAATTTTCTAAGTTTGCTTGCATCCAGCATTTACCGTCACGATGGGTGTTGAAGGACGAGCACCGAGCGGCGGTACGTGCATGTACGTTCAAGTGTGCGAGGGCAGCGCGCAAATATCAATCAGTGGAGTCAAGAGTGGAATCAGGGTGGCCGAGTAGTTCCACATAATGCTGCAACCGGAGGTGAGAGAGCGTGGTGCGCAACGTGTATCTCTCGTGTTCGGTGGCTGGTGCAGTTCAGACTTCTCACACACGCGCGCGCGCGCGCGCGCACACACACACACACACACACACACACACACACACACAA